AGTGCACGTGGTAACTTGCAGGATCAGAATCTTACTGTGAGGCTCGCCTATTAGGTCTCTACAACACGAGCACCTTCAAATAGAAGCCAAACTATTGCTTGTGATCAGAGTTTCCACTTCAAATCCAAAACACCTACCCTACTGACAAGACAACAGCCTAACACCTACATCTAATCAACAAAATAAGAGGCCACAGAAGGCTAAATATCCTTTTATGCTATTTTATAGCACAGCCGGACGTTAAATGGCACACATGCTTAGGAAATAAGTTAATCAGATTAAGAACAAAACAAACAAAAAAACACATGAAGGAGGAAGAAAGCCTTCAAAATAAAATATTTCTATAGTGTAATGATATAGTACAAAGGGCTCACTTTATCTCAAGCACCCCTTTTGGCTGAGGGCATGGTCACAAGCTCCTCTGCTTCAACCGGCTCTGGGAGTGTACGTATCCCAGATGCTTTGTTCCTCTGGGTTGCCTGGGACCCGACTTTTTTCCTACCCCCTTTTGTAGCTGCTAAAGGAGACCCAGGACCATCCACTCCTCTGAGTCCCAGCCCAGGGATCCTGTAAGTAACTGTTGCCATCTAAGTATCCCTGTTGTCCATTGCTACCTCACTCCTTGGGCCATTTCCCCAAGAAGCTTCTCCATCCACCCCTGACTGTCAGGGCTTTGAGGTAAAGTTCTCACCACACCCTGTCCACAGTTCTGCAACTCACTGTAGTCTACCACGTACAGGCTTCAGTTGGGTCTGCGATTCAATCTACACTCACAGCTGTCCAAGATGCCACTCACTGCCTTCCCAGTCAGTCTGCCTGACTTGAGCTCCAGCAAGGAACTGCCAGGCCCTGGCTCAGCAGCTTCTTTATACCAGCTTCCTGGGCCCTGATTGGCTGCAGCAGAAGCAGCCGCTCTAGCTCCCTGGAGGACCTTTGCTCTTTTCCCTGGGGCAAGTTGTGGCAAGGCCACCAGCCTCCAGCAGGGGGCTTCCAGCCTTGTCCACCTTGTCACACATAGTTAAAGAGAAACCACTATTGACATCAGTGACCTTTTGGGTGCGTGGTAATTCTGAAAGTCACACCACCTATTTGGGGGCTAAAATATGGGCGCAGGAACTTGGAGCATTTTATTGTGAGATTCTGGGCCTTTGTTAACGTCAGTGTATTAAGCATGAAGGAACTTTGTGACACATAAGAGAACTGAAGCAACGAGGAGTCGTGTGGCACCTTATAGACTAACTGAAGTGTAGGAGCATAAGCTTTCGTGGGCAAAGACCCACTTCGTCAGATGCATCTGTCTTTGCCCACAAAAGCTTATGCTCCTACACTTCAGTTAGTCTACAAGGACTCCTCGTCGCTTTTGCAGATTCAGACTAACACGGCTATCCCTCTGATATAAGAGAACTGAGAAGAGATGGAACTTTATTTCCCGACTCCAGTCACCGGTTAGGGTCAGGGTTACAAGAGCTCAATATTCCTTGTCTTGTGGCAGGGCTTGCATCCGCTGTGGCCCTTTCTGAGTGTCAACAAACTCCTAATGGTAAAATGTCAGAGTAAGGCCTTTAAGGGTGTGTCTACACAGCAAAGTTATTTCGAGCTCTTCCCATAGTCAGGGAATTAGCAAAGGCTGGCTTGAGGTTCTGGGGGGAGTGGACTCACAGTCCGGCTTTCAGGCCGATCAGGCTTTAAGCCAGGCGTGGCCAACCCACGGCTTGCGAGCTGCATGTGGCTCTTCCCCCCATCAGTGTGGCTCGCGAAGCTGCCCCCAAGGCTTGCGAAGCCGCCTCTATGCCCCTGAACACAGCCCACGCCTCCCAGCTCCCCTGTGCTCACCAGGGCAGCGGAACCATCCAGACCAAAATGGCGGATGCAATATGGCGGCCATGGCCACCGACGGAGCCTGCTGAGGCCAAGAAGCTTCAAAAAGCCTTCTTAAAGGCCCAGTCCTTTTTTTTTTCTCTACAACTTTTTGGGGGCTCTTTCTGCGGGCTCCTTTTTTTTTCTATACAACTTTTTGCCCTGGTTCTTCGCACTGGATCCAGCTGGACCTTGGCTCTTCATCCAGAACGGGTTGGCCGCCCCTGCTTTAAGCAGTCTATGTGCTCCCTCCCTCAGGCAGGGAAGAACAGCAACCAGTCAGGCATCTGTCTGGCAGATGCCCAACAAGCGCAGGCCTCTTGGCCTAAAGGTGGGGAGGCTGACACACCAGGTGTAGGGGGTCAGAAGAGTAGGGAGACCCTCGGGGTGGATCTAGATCCATGGGTATCAACCATTTCTCTAGGGTAGATGGCCCAGCAACAGTCTCAGCACCTTGGATTTGCTCTGGCCAATCCTCAGCTCGGCAGGGCTGCTCTTCGGTCTCCAGCATCAGGGAGAGGGTGGAAGATGTTTGTTTTCTCCAGTAGCTGCCACCCAATTGAGGTCCAGGACCCATTCTTTATACTTCCGGTTCTACCTCTTAACTTCCAGAAGAAGGGGTGGGCCTGGCTCTGCCCCCCAGGGCATGGTCCCTTCCCTCAGTGGAGGGCACATGGCCTCACTACATAGCGGAAGTCTCTGTGCCTCCGTTCCCCATCTGTATAATGGGGATAACAGCACTGCCCTACCTCACAGCACATTGTGAGGATAAATACATCAAAGAGCGTGAAGGGCATGGATTTTCTGGAAATGGGGACCACCATGGCATCTAAGATTGATTGTCCCCACAGCCAACATTATGTTTGTCGGTGAGCAGGAAAAACAGCGCTGACAAGGGTGGAGGAAGAAGTGGTAAAAGTCCTGTGAGGGAATTCAAGTGGTCCTTACTGCAAGTGTCATAGCCCAAGGCTGGTGCTACACAGACAGAGGAGAGCTCGTGCTCTCTGGGGGCATAAAACCACACCCAGAATACTATGACCAATAAATAAGAGTTAGAAGGAGGCACAAATTTGGTTTCAATGAACAGGACAGTCCCAGAAGACATGAAAAAAGCCCACGCTTACTAGGCTATTTCCACATCACTCACTCGAAGCCCCATACTTGTGCCATACAGAGTGTATTCCACTTGGGGAATGGTATAAGCCATACTGCCAAGCGCTCAAAGGGAGGTTTTGTCTAAAGATAAACCTTTTCTGGTGTAGTCTTGGTATGAGAAGCTCTCTCTCTTAGAGGTTCCCTAGACTAGTAATCATTTATGCACGTAAAGAAATAATCGAGTTGTTGGATTGCAAGCTCCCTAGGAAAAGGACAACTTCTTTATGCTCTATACAGCATTAAGAATGGCAGTTAACAAGTAACACACCATATCCTGATTCTTAACCAACTGCAGTGCAGTAGAGCCAGCCTGAAATCTCTAGGGGTGCGTCTACACAGCACCCTAAACTCTAAATAAGATATGCAATTTGCACTATGCAAATTGCATATCTTATTTCGAATCTATTTCAAAATAGCTTATTTTGAAATTTGGCCCATCTACACAGCACCGCATTTCTAAACGATGCCCTATTTTGAGCCATCCCTTATCCCTCGTGCAATAAGGTTTACAGGGATAGCGAAATAGCGCATCCGCTATTTCAAAAAATATTTTAAAATAATGGGCATGTTCCTTGGATGCGGGGTAGCTATTTCGGGATTCCTCAGGAAGACATACCCTAGAATGTAACAGAGTGTCCCAGCCAGCCTTTACAATGGATGAGCAGCCAGGACAGCTGGCATATGTCTTGAATTTATTAATTCGAGTAGTTCTCTTTAAACTATATTTGACTATAACATTTTCTAAAAAAAGGAAACAATCAAACTCTCTTTGAGATTACTATTATTGGAGCTTCCTGGAGCAGTTTCACTAGTACTTGTGTTTCCTGTGAATAAGGTCTGTGTTAATTAACAATTGTGGAGGAAGAACCTTCTCTGATCCCTTCAGGTTTCTTCAGAGATTCTTTCTTGAAGCCCTTTGAAGTCCACTCTTGTGCTCTGTTAGCATCCTGGGCAGCCAGCATCTGCAGAAGAAACTAAAACAAAAGATATATATACGTACAATTACTAGCAATGCACTTAAATGGCTGTTGAATACAAGCATGTTTTAAAGAAACTGCAGGGGATCAGGAAATCAGTGTGATTTGTGTTGACATATAGATTTTTTTTTTAATGAAAGCAATTTTAAACCTGATGGAATTGTGCCAGAAAGCACTCAATAATGGGATTTTCTGTATACGCACAATTGCTATACAGGTAATAACAGAAATGCAAGCTTCCCTTACACTTACACCTTTTAGAAATCCTGTCACCAGCTATGCCAGTTACACCTCCAACCCAGCAATTAACAGCAGGGTGTAAACACAATTTTCCTGCGCAGTGTGTATTTTCTCTTCATTTTCTTAGTGAGAACTGCTTTATCCAAGCTGTGTTAACAGCTCTGGGGATGATGCTATTAGCAGTCTGGCTATGTGGAGTAGAATAAACTTACATCAGCATTTTGAATATGGCCCTCGAGCTAAGAGCACTGTTCCTGGCTTGTTTGAATAGAACCAACCCACACTGGAGCATGGTACCCAGATATGCTATACCTCATTGTGTGGCTGGAACCCATACATTACAGGTCTACTCAACTTTGAAAGCCCCAGGGCCCACAATGATATTCACAGCACATGCCGAGGGCCGCAACTTAAGAGTAGTTGCATATACATGTAAATAGATATCAGATATATGCAAATAGTTTCTTTCACGCTGACGGGCATGAATACAAAGATTAAGGCGAGACTACACAACACGCAGGCCCCATTTAAGTCAGTTCTGCTGATATTAATAAAATGCAATATTTACCCGATTTCCACCCATATGACAGCACATTTAATGAGCAGTGACAGTCCAGGAATTTAACTACTAAAACGCATCTCAACAGAAGACCATCATATTGACTCGCCGTTGTGGAGCGTGTTCCCAGTAGAGGCCATATCCAAAGAATCCCATCTGTGGGCTGCATGTTGAGCCCTGTGTAAACCCAAACCATACTGCAGGATGCAAATAAATGGTTGTGGGCCGCATATTGAGTATCCCCTTGCATTGCCCCTTTAGCTAGTGTCTAGCACAGCTATATAACCAGCTTCTCATATGGGTCTGAGACTAAAAATCTTTGTCCTCAAGGGTCAGGGAGCCTATGCTAGAAACAACAGTGTTTGAACAGAGTTGCAGCAAGCACAGCTCTGATTCCTGAATGTACAGACCTAGGGCACAACGGCCCAGGCTGTTGATCATGTAGACCGGCTGCTACGCAATCATTGACTTACTGCAGGCTTCCGGTAGCCTTTCCTTTCGAGGAATTCCTGAAAAGCCCGTGTTCCATGGAGCTGCATGAATTCTGCATCCTAAGAGAGTTTCCAAAGTAGACATGAGCAGCTTCATATTAAGGGAAAGCTTAAAATAAGCCCATGAAACTTACATTTATTTACTCACTCAGGGTACGTCTACACAGCAGCGTTATTTTGGAATAACTAATGTTATTCCGAAATAACAAAATGTGTGTCTACACTTCAATCCTTTATTTCAAAATAATGTCGAGCTGGAGGACTTCTTACTCCGACTCATGATAACCCTAATTTCACGAGGAGCAAGGGAAGTTCAAGGATGAGTGTTCTTCCTTCAGCTTCCTGCTGGGTAGCCAGCGCCAAAAGCTGAGTTCAGCTATTTCACTTTAAGCTACGCAACTGATGTAGCTGAAGTGGCTTAGCTTAATTTGACTTTAGCCCTGCTGAGTAGACGTAAAGGTGGTGGGACTACAAAGGGGGTTTCTGTTAAATTCTCACCTGTACCACAAGTGCCATTTAAGCTAATTAAGATTCCAAATGGTTAACTGATTTCTAATTTGCTGCTTTTACAGAGATCTGGTTACTTCACAATGCTGAATTGTGATTAAAAAAAATAGATCCCAAAGGTTAATTTATGGTCACCTAGTTTGACCTTCAGTATAACACAGGCCATATAACTCATCCGGGAATTCTTACAGTAGAGGAAGTTATTCTTCCTTACACTGTAAGAGAACACTATTGAACTCAGTAACTTGTAGCTGAACTGTATCTTGTTTTTCGATAAATGCCTTGTCAAATCAAGGGTCAACAGATTTTCAGATGAAGCAGACACCCCATCCTGCTCCTAAGACAGGATCTTTTTCAAATCTCTCTTTCTCTGGGCTTTACCTTTGTTGTTATCTTAGACCAGAGATGGAGAGCCTATGGCCCATGGGTTGAATCCAGCCCCCAGCTTCTCTTGGTCAGGCCTGCAGCGGGGTTTGGGGCTTCCCTTCTCCCCCATAGTACTGCGACCCCAGCACTAGTCTCCTTGCCTTGCTCCCCTCCCTACCCCAAGTGATGGAGAAGTGATGGGCCAGCTAAGGTGGGGGGAAGCCGAGAGCTGGATCAAGGGAAACTGCAGCTGGATTTGGCCCCGTGTGGCTGGTGGGAGCCCCAGCCCTCCTGAGCGTGTCAGTGCGTTTTTAGTCTTTTTTTGTTTGTTTGTGTCTCCGGAACCAGGCCAGAGAGGGTAGGGTTTGGGGGTTTTTTTGGGGGTGGGGAGAATTGGCTTCTCAGTGGTGTGTGATCCCCAAACAATTGGCTGTCTCCACTGACTTTCTGATTTTTTCCTTGCAGGATTACTCTGTTTCTGACCTTAGTGCTCTATCTCAGAGTTATTCAGACCCTTGTAACTCCTGGTTTGGTGCTAGCAGAACCCATCTGGTCTGACATCCAGGTGAGTCCAAGACGCCCTTTGAATCTCTATGACAGGTCCTAGAATCTGATGCTCTCTGACAGCTCTAAAGTAGAACACTATGAAACGGCTACTTATTCCCTGTCATTCAGCACGCCAAGATTGTATAACAATCATTGCTTTAAAAACCTGGCTCCCTGTCCCTCAAACTGAGACTTTGCTAAACTCTTGAATTTTACTTCACTTCACTGCCCTCTAGTGGGCCAGGAGTATCTTTCCTATTCCTTAAACACGAATCTTGGGAGTGGGGTGTACCCACAAAAGCTCATGATTCCATCTACATGTTTTGTTAGTCTTTAAGGTGCTACTAGAACATTTGTTGTTTCTTAAGTTTTTCCAGCCAAGGACTAACTCAGCTACCCCCTGAAGCTTCCTGACATGTTAGTAGCTCTTTGACACTCGTTTGCTAGAACAAAATACAGTGATTACAGAATGAGCCCCTCTGCTGTTCACTGCCATTCTGATACGAACACTCGGCCTTTTGTTGCACTTCATCGTAGCATTTTTTATGACTTGTTGTAACCCACACACCTAGTGGGTGTGGTTCAGGGTCCCACCTAGTGGCACTGAGACCACTGACAAAGAGAAAGACTGAGTCTGCTCTACAGCCTTAGCTGAAAGCCAGCTGGCTTTTAGCACATGCACTATGCTCTAGAGCTCCCAGGTTTGGTTCCTCCTGTCAGTGTTATGTCACCTCATCCCCTAAAGTCTGTGGCTACATCTACACTGGCCCCTTTTTCAGAAGGGGCATGCTAATTTTCAACTTCAGAATAGGGAAATCCGCGGGGGATTTAAATATCCCCCGCGGGATTTAAATAAAGATGTCCGCCACTTTTTTTCCGGCTTGGGGAAAAGCCGGAAAAAAGCGTCTAGACTGGCCCGATCCTCCGGAATAAAGCCCTATTCCGGAGGATCGGGCCAGTCTAGACGCTTTTTT